GGCTTTTCCCTTCAGCAGGGGTCGCCGTCCTTCTCACGTGTTGCCCTTCTCCAATCATCTCTATTCATTGACAGGTTTCTGCAGTTCCTTTCTTGTTCATGTCTTCTTTAACCATATAACAAACAGACAAGACGCAGTGTAATTATATGGAAACTTTATATTCAAAGTGATTCTTCTTCGGCTTTTCCCTTCAGCAGGGTTCGCCGTCCTTCTCACGTGTTGCCATCCTCCAATCATCTCTATTTATTGCCAGGTTTCTGCAGTTCCTTTCTTGTTCATGTCTTCTTTAACCATATAACAAACAGACAAGACGCAGTGTAATTATATGGAAACTTTATATTCAAAGTGATTCTTCTTCGGCTTTTCCCTTCAGCAGGGTTCGCCGTCCTTCTCACGTGTTGCCATCCTCCAATCATCTCTATTTATTGCCAGGTTTCTGCAGTTCCTTTCTTGTTCATGTCTTCTTCAACCTCATTCTCCCAACGCTTTACTAGTCTTCTCTTACTGGCTATTGGCAGTATTAATACTCTCTTTATTACTTGTTCTTCTTCTCTTTTCTTCACGTGACCGAAACACCTCAGCTTCGCTTCCCTTGCCTTTTCCTCGATTACACAGACTCCTGTCATTTGCTTAATTTCCTAACTCGTTCTCTTCTTACTCCTGTCAGTTTTATGGGGCCGAGTTCTTTACTGTAGGTGTCTGTGACTTGTTGGTGATAAATTTCAACAATAAACATACAGTACACAATCCACTTGTTTTAAAATGATATATTCAAAACAAGTCAAACGTATGTACAGAAATTCGTTACGCTATTGGCAGGCTGTATCCAGATCTTTAAATAATTGTCTCTTTTTCGTCAAAGCCCACACAAGCGGGTTCAATCACTTTAGAACACTCTTTGACAAGACATATTATTTTTTTCTACTTTGTTATTACAATACAGTCAGTGATAAATTAACTTACATTACCCCGTGGATTACCACAGTTGTATCCAGAGCTTTAAATAATTCTTTTTTACGTCAAAAGTCCACACAGGCTGGTTAAGTTCCTTTAGAACCCAATTAACAAAATGACTCATTATTCTCTACTCTGTTATAACAATACAATCTACGATTATAACACTTTAAAAGTCGCCACTATACACTCTTTGTGACTAAACTTACAAACACAGTCTAAATCTATATCTTTCACTAACTTTGTCTTGCTTTCACTTTCACTAACTTTCCTACCTCCTCTAACTTGGTCGCCTAAAGCTATATATTGCCCGACTGAGGCCTAGAACTTTCTACAAACTACGAGACGTTTTAATGTAACAATACTCACTTAAAGCAACGAGAAAAAATCAGAAGGTTCGAGTAACGTGACGTCAATTCACAACAATTAAACTACACAACAAATGATTCGTAAACAATTACATAAGCAAACCTGCAATAAATTATCGCTTTGAAAAACACTAAATTTAACACTCGCGCTTTATAACTGTCTAAATTAAATTTAAATGAAACAGTCTTGTGTATCCAACAACTCCCAACACCAATCTCAGATTCTCGTAACCTGTTTCTATGAACAAACCTCCTTCTTTCTTCTTCTGTAAAACTACCTGCCCCATGGGAATAAATACCTATTCATAAAATGCTGGTTATAAGTCTAGAGTGCAATTATTCATTCGACTGTCTTAATAGTAAATAAGTTGGATATTGATTAATTAATTAAGAATTTAATTAATTTTTTACCACTGAATAATGCTATACTGATTATGTTTCTACGTTACGTTTGATTGTCAATGTTTCGTCTTCACATTACCATTAATCAGTGTTTAATGAATTTCTAATCACAGTCTGGTCAACATTGCATTTCAGACCTACCTTTCTTTCTACCACATATTTCTTCTGCAAGTCAATACAAACTTTTAGGTTTGATTTGGTTTGTTTTAAATTTCCCGCAAAGCTACTCGATGGCTATCTGCACTAGCCGTTCCAACTTTAGCAGTGGAGGTCAGCTAGTCAATACCACCCACCGCCAACTTTTGGGCTACTATTTTACCAAAAAATAGTGAGATTGACCGTCACATTATAATGCCCCCACGCTGAAAGGGCGAGCATGTTCGGTAACGGGAATTCGACCGCGTGACCCGCAGGTTGCTAGTTGAGCGATCTGACCACCAAACGTTTGGTATACAGGAACAAGCTTAACAGTAAGACGTCAAAGATTGAGCTGTTGGACAAAAAACTTTTTCAAGGACCCATTTACAATGAAATTCGTTGAAATTACGTTAACCAGTTGCAAGAACCTGTTTCATTTTCTGATTATTGTCCTTGAATACGTTTCTCACGATAGAGTTCGTCCGAATGCTGTGAACATTTTAAGAGAATAATGCAAACAAACGTGTTTTGTTTTCAAGTTCACGAACAACAAAAAATTTATGATTCCCAGATTGCAGGTTTATAGCTTGATATCTTCATATCTTATAAAATTGTTTTTTAAGAGTTTGTTTGTAATTAAGCACAAAGCTACACAATGAGCTATCTGTACTCTGCCCACCACGGGTATCGAAACCCGGATTCTAGCGTTGTAGACATACCGCTGTGCCACTGGGGAGTTTTTTTAAGACATATACACACAATTATACCGACGTTTGTGACCAAGATGTCAATCACTGTAAGGCATAACGACATAACACATGTAGATACTCGGGTCAAACACAAGAGCTGGGCTTGCCTCAGTAGTTAACGTGCCGGACTGCGGGTCGGAAAGTCCAAAGGTTTGAGTCGCAAAATACCACTGAACACGGTCCACATTTTTTAACTGTGGGACATTAAACTGTGATTGCTAATTCTGATATTAAGTTAAAAGTAGCCACAAAATAGGCGGCAGAGACTGATAACTGGTTCCCCTACTTTTGGTCAGTAGTTCTAGATTAGGGACGGCTATACATGAACCTTAGAGAACTCTAAGCGTGCTGTTTAGCCCACGAGTTGTATAAAGTGCAGTTCAG